CAAGAGTTCAATAGCACCAAGTGTTCAACAACACCAAGTGTTCAACAACAACAAGTGTTCAACAGCACCAAGTGTTCAACAACACCAAGTGTTCAACAACAGCAAGTGTTCAACAACACCAAGTATTCAACAGCACCAAGAGTTCAACAAGTGTTCAACAACACCAAGTGTTCAACAACACCAAGTGTTCAACAGCACCAAGTGTTCAACAGCACCAAGTGTTCAACAACACCAAGTGTTCAACAACACCAAGTGTTCAACAACACCAAGTGTTCAACAGCACCAAGTGTTCAACAACACCAAGTGTTCAACAACACCAAGTGTTCAACAACACCAAATGTTCAACAACACCAAGTGTTAAACAACACCAAGTGTTCAACAACACCAAGTGTTCAACAACACCAAGTGTTCAACAACACAAAGTGTTCAATAACACCAAGTGTTCAACACCAAGTGATCAACAACACCAAGTGTTCAACAAGTGTTCAACAACACCAAGTGTTCAACAGCACCAAGTGTTCAACAGCACCAAGTGTTCAACAACACCAAGTGTTCAACAGCAAGTGTTCAACAGCACCAAGTGTTCAACAGCACCAAGTGTTCAACAACACCAAGTGTTCAACAACACCAAGTGTTCAACAACACCAAGTGTTCAACAGCACCAAGTGTTCAACAACATCAAGAGTTCAACAACACCAAGTGTTCAACAACACCAAGTGTTCAACAACATCAAGTGTTCAACAGCACCAAGTGTTCAACAACACCAAGTGTTCAACAACACCAAGTGTTCAACAACACCAAGTGTTCAACAGCACCAAGTGTTCAACAACACCAAGTGTTCAACAACACCAAGTGTTCAACAACACCAAGTGTTCAACAACATCAAATGTTCAACAACACCAAGTGTTCAACAGCACCAAGTGTTCAACAAGTGTTCAACAACACCAAGTGTTCAACAACACCAAGTGTTCAACAACACCAAGTGTTCAACAGCACCAAGTGTTCAACAACACCAAGTGTTCAACAGCACCAAGTGTTCAACAACACCAAATGTTCAACAGCACCAAGTGTTCAACAAGTGTTCAACAACACCAAGTGTTCAACAACACCAAGTGTTCAACAACACCAAGTGTTCAACAGCACCAAGTGTTCAACAACACCAAGTGTTCAACAACACCAAATGTTCAACAACACCAAGTGTTCAACAGCACCAAGTGTTCAACAGCACCAAGTGTTCAACAACACCAAGTGTTCAACAACACCAAGTGTTCAACAACACCAAGTGTTCAACAACACCAAGTGTTCAACAACACCAAGTGTTCAACAACGCTATATACAAACATCTTAATAAATCATAATATTACTATCATCGTTTTTTTATATAACTTCATCAAAGCAAAATTAAAAAATAATAAAGATGTGGGTGCAATTTTTTCCAAGTGAAGTTTGTGTTGTGTGAGAGGAAAATCTCTCTTAAGCTCTCTTATGTTGTTTTTTACTTGTTAACTTTCACAATGGCCAGAAAATAATTCAATTTCGCAAATATGTTAAGAACATTTGGAGTGAAATTCTGTGATTAGTTTTAATTTCCGACTAATGCTGCAAGTTTATGAATAATTGAGGTTCAAGATGCTGGTTAAGTGAAGCAAGATAACTCTAAACCTGACAAGTTAAGTGAAGCAAGATAACTCTAAACCTGATAAGTTAAGTGAAGCAAGATAACTCTAAACCTGATAAGTTAAGTGAAGCAAGATAACTCTAAACCTGATAAGTTAAGTGAAGCAAGATAACTCTAAACCTGACAAGTTAAGTGAAGCAAGATAACTCTAAACCTGACAAGTTAAGTGAAGCAAGATAACTCTAAACCTGACAAGTTAAGTGAAGCAAGATAACTCTAAACCTGACAAGTTAAGTGAAGCAAGATAACTCTAAACCTGACAAGTTAAGTGAAGCAAGATAACTCTAAACCTGACAAGTTAAGTGAAGCAAGATAACTCTAAACCTGATAAGTTAAGTGAAGCAAGTTAACACTAAACCTGACAAGCTAAGTGAAGCAAGTTAACACTAAACCTGACAAGTTAAGTGAAGCAAGTTAACTCTAAACCTGACAAGCTAAGTGAAGCAAGTTAACACTAAACCTGACAAGTTAAGTGAAGCAAGTTAACACTAAAACCTGACAAGTTAAGTGAAGCAAGTTAACTCTAAACCTGACAAGTTAAGTGAAGCAAGTTAACACTAAACCTGACAAGTTAAGTGAAGCAAGTTAACACTAAACCTGACAAGTAAAGTCATGGGTAATGGGGGTATCATACCCCTTAGAGCAGTGGTTCCCAAACTGGGGGTAAATTACCCCCTGGGGGTAATTTAACCATTTTTGGGGGGTAATGGAGGGGTGACAGAAAAAAAATTATGAATTCTGAAAATCAAGAAAACAATGTGGTACTCGGTATGAGGATTATTGTTAACTTTGTCTTAGTATATAAAGTTGTAAAGTAAACCTATTATAAGTAAGTAATAAAGTTAAACCAAATAACAATAAACATCAAAAACTAATATACAGTATTAGAAAAGAAGAAATATATAGCTAAGTGTGTGGAAACCCAAAAGTATTTTGACAAGTATGCTTCAGGACAAAAGTCACTCAGTAGCCCAGATCGACCTGTCCAGTACGCGTCACTCACTTCCTGAGGCTGCCTCTATTTCACACTGTCAGTTTATCTGTGAGCATCAGCCGAGGTAGACATAAGCTGGTATGTATGTGTACTGCCCTGTGCAGTATATAGTTAGTATCTACCCACTGTTACTGTGAATTTGTAGCTATTATTAATTTTATATATAATGTATGTGTGGTTCTTACGTTTTCAATGGTTTTGCTAGGATTAGCAGAGTATGCGAGGCTGTATACGTTCACGTTTACCCATATATATCAATAATAACATTTTGTGAAAGGGGTAACATGCTTTATGTGGCATGTTAAATTGGGTAACAAGCTGAAAAAGTTTGGGAACCACTGCCTTAGAGGTATAGGACTGCATCTCTGAACAATCTGCCAATTTTGTATAAATAAATTATTTCCTTTTAGCTGTTCTCTTCCTAGTTATCTATGTGTAAAATAAAACCAAGCTGTTAACATCTTTTAAAGTCAAAGCAGCACTTAATAGGACTGGTGGTAGTGATGATTTCCAGTCTGCTGAAAGGGGGTATGACCACATATTGGTCAATACATTGAGGTCTACAATGGTTAAAAGATCACAAACCCATGTGAAGTGAAGCAAGTTAACTCTAAACCTGACATGTTTGAAGGTTTAAGTGTGCATGGTTTTTCTGATTTTAGCTGGTGATGACTCTTAGGTCACTTATGCTGAGGGACACTGGCAACCATGTAGTGCAGAAGTGGCTCCACCTCACCAACATAACACTCCCACACTATATGTCCATCATGTAGTAACTCCACCTCACCAACATAACACTCTCCCACACTATTGTCCATCATGTAGTAACTCCACCTCACCAACATAACACTCCCACACTATATGTCCATCATGTAGTAACTCCACCTCACCAACATAACACTCTCCCACACTATATGTCCATCATGTAGTAACTCCACCTCACCAACATAACACTCCCACACTATATGTCCATCATGTAGTAACTCCACCACACCAACGTAACACTCTCCCACATTATATGTCCACCTGTGCACTGATTCATACACATACATGTATCACAGTGTTGCTTACATGTTTGTCTACACAGACATAACAAAGGTTATAGAGCACCAAGTAACAATGTTAGAGAGTAGCAATGTTAATGAACATGCTCAACTTGACACATGAGTAGGAACAACTTTGTATCAAGCATCAAGTAAGCAACACTACATGTGCTTGCTTCACTGATATTCTCATTAACACTGAGGTCACAGTAACACCAAATCAATAATTGTTGCCTGAGGAACAAACCATAACTTAAAACTTCACATGACATTTACCAGAGTATTGTAACTCTTTTTAAAAAGAATATAAACACATACGCAGTATAATGTGATCCTTTATTTACAAGGTTTTGCCCATACAGTGGGCTTTATCAAATCACAAACAGATCTACCTGGGTGAAAGGTACATGAGTATTTATAGAATGGAGTCAGGTGGAGAATGCTACATGTAACACTCTTCCAAGTAGGGTGATAGAGTCTAGGACCTGGGTAGCTGTAAAAAGAGATTGGACTATGTACTCATATACTTGTCCAATCTCTTTTTGAAGCTACCCAGATCCTAGACTCTATCACCCTACTCAGAAGATTGTCACATGCAGCATTCTCCACCTAACTCCATCCTATAAATACTCACATACCTTTCACCCAGGTAGATCTGTTTGTGACTTGATAAAGCCCACTGTGTGGGCAAAACGTTGTCAATAAAGGACCATATTATACTGCTCATGTGTTTATATTTCCATTGTGTTGGTATTTTATACCATTTATTTCTATCCTTTTAAAGAAAAATATGCCACTAAACTTTGTAATGTACAAGAATAAAAGCCAATCATCTAATATTCATACACACACACACACCAATTTTTAATAACATCAAAATAAAAATAATTTGTTCCTCCTCATGAGGAACATGGTAGTCCAGGGCACTTACTAAACACTTCTCAGATGAACTTATTACACAATGACAAGTCAAGATAGTGTATCATACTTGTCACATAAAAGAAATACAGTCGTAAGTCAATGTATCTTACTTGTCATAAAACACACATTATGCCCCAGCAAGATACTTGAATATTTTAAGGTTAAAAAATATGAAGACACAATACCGTGACTGGAACAATGCACAAATAACCCATCAGCATGAGTTTCTTTCTCCCATGTGGGAGTTACCTGTGTATTTTAAGGGACAGTTTGAACACAACCAAAATATGAGTTATTTAAGTTTGCATGTTTGAGAGAGGACACTTGGTTGATGATACAAAACAACAAATATAGTAAGACTTACCGAAGGTGAACCATCACCATTACTGGTGCTTCCGATGCCCCCACTACTGCCACCTTCAGTAGAGTCTGTCTCTCCATTCACCCGGTTACTCTCTGCACCATCTCCCGGAACTTTACCTAACTTGTACTGGTTTAGCTGTAAAGATGAAACATCATCATCATAATCATCATCATAACCATAATCCACCCAGTTTTCCACTTTCAATATGTAAAAAGACCTGCCAGGGAAGAATGGAAGAGTATCATAATGAGCACACAATGAACATATTTACGACACTGCCCCACACAGTTCGGCCATCACTAACCCGGCAATCAGTAATCTGGTTCCATCAGTAATCCAGCATAAATTTCGGCTAGCATAATTTCAAATTTCTGGGGTCACCACACCAACCTGCTGTTGCTGTTTGGTGGCGCTACTTGCTGCATAAGTCATTCTAATTTCTTTTTCTCCATTTATTGTTATAACCTCCTCACTTTTAGCCCTAGCCGTGGTTCCAACAAATAAAAGAAATGCTTCTCATTATGTAAAGCACATACACCATACATTGTCCATAAAAGATTAGAAGCCACTGTCAGTCGCCATGAGCTCAGCTCACTCAGATAAGCTGTGACTGGTAAATTTGGGCCTACATATGTGTGGTAAGTGTGCACTATATAAAAAAATCCTACAGCATGATGTGCATAATGAGAAAAACTGAGACCATGTTTTTGGTGTAAAACTGTGACTTTGCTGTGTATTTTCATGTGATTTTTATAGTTGTAATTTCTTTTTTTTATATAATTTGATAGAATGGAAGATATATTACAGAAATAGATATAATTTTGATTGGCTTCACGATGGAAAGTACCTTGAAATTGAGCTCAAGAGTAAACATATGACATCACCGTCAAATACGTGTCCAACTGGCTGGTCTAATATGGGTTGACATTATTTATACAACTATTACAATAATGTAGTAGTCTGTATAACAGTAAATCTTCTATTTTTTGTGTGAATAAAAATTCAAAATGGAAAGCAAGTGTAATACAAGAGGAGCCTGGAGATGTGACTAATAAACAGAGAAAATGTTATTTTGGTGCCAGGAATGACTGAATTGTTTATTCTTGACCCTCTTTTGAAATTGGCATCTCTTGAAATTTGTGTGAAATTGGACAAATTACCAATCTCTGACCACTTTATTGGGTAGCTGAAATAAGTAAATGGGTGGTTTCTTGTACTCAATCAACAGAAGAGAAGGAATACTAGCATAATATCTATGAGTTTGGTAGAATGGAATAATGGAATGGGCCAAAAATAGTGCACAGAGTGGGTGAAATTGCAATGCATAAATATCGCCATTAGGTTAAGTGTATTCTAACCTAACCATTCTGTAATCCCACACCGTACAGGTCCCAATGATGCGGGATTAGTGATGGTCAATCTGTACTTCCTTCAACACTCACTGCTATCACTGACACCATCTCATACTACCTTCAACACTCACTACTATCACTGACACCATCTCATACTACCTTCAACACTCACTACTATCACTGACACCATCTCATACTACCTTCAACACTCACTACTATCACTGACACCATCTCATACTACCTTCAACACTCACTACTGTCACTGACACCATCTCATACTACCTTCATATTATAATTACTATCATACTACCATTACTATCAATGACACATTCACACTCTTTCCTTACTTCCTCCACACTCCTTCCCGTCAATCTGATAACCAGTCATTCACTACCTCAATATTTTGTTACAATCATCACTCTGATCTGTTCTTTATCATACTCTCCTAAACTCCTCCACCAGCCTTTTCAACTTCTCTTCCGAATCTCACAAAAAACTGTGTCATCGACAAAGAGAAAATGTGACAATTCCCACTTCATATCAGACTCAATGTGGCCTGCAAAGAGTACGTAACCTTTATTCAGCGCATGTACACACCCTCATTGAAAGGCTATCTCCCCAACCAGCGAACCAGTACTAGGGTTGAATGATGGGGCCCCATCGTTTGATCAGTACCCCGGTTCACCCAATGAGAAGGTGGGTCTGGCATTTGTAGAGGTGTTGTGGTCACCACCCACCTGTCTACCCTTGTCATTTCCATACCAGAGCTGGTTGAGCACGGTTGTCCATTCTGTCTCCAGGCTGTGTTTGGCCTTGGCTTAACCATGTTATACACATACATTTCCAACTGTATATAGTGTACATACATGTAAATAATCAATATTGCTCTGAGTGAAGGAAAATATATTTCACAGTCATTCAGCTGTATTTGTTCTGCTCCTTGCTCCCCTTTACACCCAGGATAACAGGCCTTATTGTCCCTGGGTTATAATATGGATAGCCTGTCTGGGAGCTGGAGCTGGACTTAGAGCAGGAGTTGAGCCTAGGGTGAAGCTGAAGCGGGAACATTGTATAGCTTGCTGTCTGGCATTGCATTAGCTTTGCCAACGCTTTATTAAACTTTGTGTGTCAGCCTTGCGTTTTATAGTCAGCCTGCTATTGTATGATCGTTGACAGCTTGCTATTGGCTTGTTCATTGTGCTCGTTTCGCTATGGTTAATCTTGCTGTTGTGTGAATATTTTGCAGTCGGCTTTGATATTGTGTATCAGCCTTGCTATTGTATGTGCATATTCTGCAGTCGTACTGTGCATAGCTGAGCGTGTATTGCAAATACAGTGGACCCCCGCCTTACAATATTAATCCATTCCTGAGAGCTCGTCATAAGCCGAAGTTATTGTTAGCCAAATTAATTTTCCCCATAAGAAATAATGGAAATCAAATTAATCCGTTCCTGACACCCCAAAGTATGAAAAAAAAAATTTTTACCACATGAAATATTAATTTTAATACACACAAGCTGAAGAAGACATGCACAATTACTACTCTACTAAGAATAGAATACATGACACTCACCTTTATTGAAGATCTGGTGATGATTAATGGGATGGGAGGAGGGGAGAGTGTGGAAGATGTTATTGTTTAGAATGGTAATCCCCTTCCATTAGGACTTGAGGTAGCAAGTCCTTTTCTGGTGTTACTTCCCTTCTTTTAATGCCACTAGGACCAGCTTGAGAGTCACTGGACCTCTGTCGCACAACAAATCTGTCCATAGAGCTCTGTACCTCCCGTTCCTTTAAGACGTTCCTAAAATGGGCCATAACAGTGTCATTGTACAGGTTGCCAACAAGGCTTGCAGTAGCTGTGTCAGGGTGATTTTCATCCGTAAAGGTTTGCAGTTCAACCCACTTTGCACACATTTCCTTAATCTCTTTTTTCAATTCCATACTAATTCTCACCCTTTTTACCACAGGGATGGCACTAGAAGCTTTCTTGGGGTCCATGGTGACTTATTTTGCAGTTACAAGCACTAAAAACACTAGGATAATGTGAAATGTACCGAATGTATGAGTAGATGCGACCGCACTGGCTGGCTTGTAAACACTGGTGCTGAGGCCACACATGGGAGACGCGTCCCGGACGAGTCACGTAAGGTGAGTTTTTTATCACAAGGCGAGGCAAAATTTTTGCATTCAAATGCTTCGTATGGTGGATTTAACATAATGCGATGCGTTCGTAAGGTGGGGGTCGACTGTAACATGTTACGTTGGGGTGCTAGTATTCTGCAGTCATACTGTGCATAGCTGAGTGTGTATTGCAAATAGCACGTTACATTGGGGTTTGCCGCCTAGACGAGTCAGATGTCTAGTGTCTGAATACACTTTATTAAACTTTTCCAAATTTTCACTACAGCATTGTTGGCAAATTGCTCGTTCCATTGGCATTGATTATGAACGCACTCTCACAGCAGCACAGCTTCATACTCTTATAAGCATCAAACTTCAAGAAGAGATGGCACATCAAATTCTTCCCTCTATGGGAGCCAGAAATAAAACCCTGATGTTCTCACAGGAGGAAAATGATACATCAACTGAGCAAAATCGTCAGTCTCATGCGACAGGGTTGTCTGAAGGTGAATCTGCTGTGTTGGCATTTGAGTTGGTGAAAATCAATCTTGAGCAGACTAGGGAGCAAAGGGCATATGCCAAGGAAGAACTTGATAAGGAAAAAGAAAGAAGGTAGTTTTCTCAAATTGTGAATGACTTTAGTTTGCAAAAAGCAGCACAGCTGGTTCCCTGGTTCAATGAGGCAGAACCTGAACAATTTTTCGAAACTTTCGAAAACCAGGCTCAAGCCTTGAGGTGGCCGGAACAGCACTGGGCATCTTTGGTGCATACAGCTTTTCTTGGTAAGGCACAGGAATTTACATCAGTGTTAATTAAATGACACTGAATTTTGTAATTACCAAGTGGTGAAGATCACAGTCCTTGGAGCAAACCAATGTATTCCTGCTATTACAAAAAAGTAATTTTTAAATGAAGATGGTAAGATTTACTCCTTTTGTAATAAAGAGTACGGGATACATAAATACACACATTAATATAAATTAATCTTTAATATATAAAAATCAACTATCTTTGGTCTAGAGGTATTTGAACTATGATATAATAATAATATGTACATGTTACTATAATAAATTATAATCAGCATTTTACTAAAATATAATTAATAACCCTACACAGGGTACAACTCTTGACACTACTGTCACTATATATATATATCTCTATGCTAAAACAATAAATTATAAATAACATTTTTATAATAATAAATTACAATCAACTGCCTCTCACGACACGAAGTCAGTCACACGACACTGTTCAGTGTACACTACAACCAGGCCATCTTCAGTGTCCCACGACACCCTTTTCATCTCAGTGTTCCACTACGGTCCTGTGCATATCTCAGTGTTCCACTCCATCGTACGTCCCTCAGTGTCACACTACGGTCCTGGCCCAGTTCAGTGTAACACTCCAACCTTTTCTTCATGTAATGTCCCACTAAACAGCATCTGACGACTCCGGCCCACAGTTGATCAACGTAGACGGTGAGTCCACAGACATCACCGGTAGTCCAGTAAATCCTCTCCAAAGGCGGTTGACACACCGCTAGCCGAACACCATGCTGCAAGCTCACTGAATGCGGCCGTCAAGTAACTGAGGCCAACAGACTCAGTGAGCTGCGGTGAGCGGTTCTTCTAACGCCAGTAGATAGGTACGATTCGGTGG